CAAAATTGGTCGGTACCTATGGGGTTGGGAATTTAGGATGCATGCAGGGTTCCAAAACGGTGCATACTGCCACACCCAATGGAGAACCCAGTACATGTTCCACAACAAACACCATCCAAATCCGTGAGCAATGACGTCACCAATCGCCTAGGGACGCATGTCGTTCGGTACCTTCCAGACCTCGCTGTTTTCGCGAGACCCCATTATGCGCTTCTTAGATGATGGGTGCCTCAAAGCAGGTGATTGGCACACAATAAAACAGGCAAATGTTCAGTTCGCTCCTGGTGACTCTCCTCCAAGAATACATACTTAATAAGAGAGATGCTATTTCGGGTAGCCCTCAGCTCATTGAAAGGGTAGTGTGGCACAGTTAAAAGAAACTTTGAAAAACCTGCACTAGTGTTGAACCTCATAGTAATGCTGTTGTAATGTTGTTGTACTGTGGCGCTTTTCAATGACTCGACGCCACGGAAATCAAAAATGTGAGCTGAAAAGATTTCCCTCCGAAACATACAATTGCGCACCTTTGGCGCGCACCAATGCTGTGGATTTAAGTGAGTGACTCAACGTCCTTCCAATCTTGTAACGCATAACTCCGAGAAATTTGAATGACTAAAGCCATTTCTACTGACAGTCAATTTACTTAGACGGATTTGGGTAGGACGGTGTCATATAAAAATTGCTGTACTATTCTACAAGACTTGTACTCACCGTAACCCCATTCCAGGGGAAACCTTTGGTGAGGGCGAGTATGCCGATATTTCGATCCCTATTCGGGTCATCCGGGAGGCGCTAGAAAGTCGTGGTGTGAAATTCGGTTTTTTTCAGCGTTCGTCTCCAGATTCGTTGGCTTATGACAGGTAGCTGAGTTTCAGTGACAGTGACGGTAACGGTACCGTTACCGGAACCGTTACCGGTACCGTAACGAGTATGGTATCAGTGTTGGAAGGTAACGATTATTGGATGAGGCTACAAGGAGGACGGCGCATTCGTGAGTTTGTAAGTAGCAAGTGGACAACAAGTTTTTGTTGTAATTGTTACGATGTTATTGCTAAATTTTTCGAATGTATCATTCCGTGTATCGAGTAAATCCTATTTCTTGATTTGAATCATTTTGTATGTGTGTCCCGATGAAGTTCCTTTTGTTGTTTTGGGTGACGGATGGATGATTTGTTTGCGCGAGGCTGTTTAGAAGAAGCCTAGTTCGCCTCCTCTTTCTTTTCTTCCTCTTCGTCACTGGCCACAGCAGCCAATTTGGCCTCTTCTTCGAGGATCCAAGCGGTGTAGTTCTGGAAATCTACAGGGTCAAGATGCTCTTGCCCAAGTCCGTATTCTTCGATGATGTAGTTGGGAACGCTTCCGCGGGGCCAGACCGAGTAAAGTGTCATCGTGCTGTTCTTCAACAACTCTTCAACAGACGACTTGGTAGAGCAGGAGAGGACCTGCTTGCAATCTTCATCGGTGAAGATGTCACTCCAGTATTGAACCTCCTTGACGGCTGGATCCGCGAACTCGTACTTGTATTTCTTCTGTTTGTATCGTGGAAGCTCGTTCATAGCAGGGACAAAGAGCTGTTCGAACCATTCCTTGAGCTCATCTGGGGTGGAATGACGAGTCATAGACTGCTCAAAAAATGTGAATGCCTTCATCTGATAGTCCGTAGACGACATGACGGGTTCCATCGCGCCACTGTCTCCGGTGCCAGAGAGAGGAAGCACATACATCGCGGCGGGCTCCACGGTCGCAAGGAACTTGGTGTGGTGTGTGAGATTCTTGTTGACATAGCAGCGCTGGACAAACAATTCGCCTTTCTGGGGACCATCCATGGTGACAGCGAATCCATTGTAGAAGGCTGCGCTGGCGAAATCGAAATCACCGGGAGGCTTCACTTGATAGAACTTGACAAGGTCAATGCCACGGAACTTCTTGCCAGAATCAGAATGTGGCGTCATAATAATGGAAGCTCGCTTGCGCTTTCCATCAGGACTCAAGAGAGGGTTGGTCGACGACATGTTTGATGATGCTTCCCTATAAAGCAAGCATGTAATTAGAGAACGAAAATGTCAGTTGGCGATGGGTAACTTTAGCCATCTAGAGAGTTCGCCATTGTCAGTTACCTTTGCAGCGATAGTTAGAATGGTTTCAAGTTTTACTTGAAACCGATTTGTGAGAAATTGCAAAATTTTGGCTTTGTTTAGGGCTGAACGAGTATGGCATGCGCGTTGTTTATTAGTCTATTGCAGCATGCACGCCCGCTGTTTAGAAACGGAACAATTGATGCACGCCGGCCATATAGAAACGGAACAATTGAGAGGTCTAGATTTTGATTCGGAACGCTTGCAAGTTTCGAGTTCTGGTTCTGACATCAATCGTAAAAAGGGTACGAAATGTGAAAGGTTAAGGTTTTGTAGAAAAGAACCCTTCGTGTTTGTCGCCAGAATGATGGTTCGCTGCTGTAGAGTTAGAGTTTTCATGAAAAGAACCTTCAACGACATTGTTTACTGAAATTGTGAGTCAATAGAGTTCAGGTTTTGTGGAAAAGAAGCGTTGCTAATGTCTTGATGGCAACGGCCTCTTTTCTCTCATGTGTCACGCGTTATTGAAACGTTGTTGTATTATGTGTCCACGATGGACGATGGTGAAGATGGTGAAGACTACGGTCCGATAGGAGTACTGCCGTCAGTGCAGTCTGTACAGGAACGCATCAATAGTAGATATGACGAATTAATTCATGTGGATGCAAAAGGAAAATATGTTCCTTACGTGTGCCTGGTTTGTGACGAGTTCATCATGCATCGCGATGAGTTACTGTGGTATCGCCTAACTGATCTTTTCAAGTGCAAACATGTGTTAGAGTGGAATGCTGTTATGCATGAGCATGAACGTATTCCGGCTGTTGAAGAGAACTTCCGATTTGTGGATCATGACGATGCAGTGAAGGACCCTTCATGGCTGCATAGAATGGGCCTTTCTCCCCGAGGTATTGTAAAAAAGGGCAATAGACCCAATGCTAGTGGTGTTTTCAGCTGCTGCGAACGATGTTCTTCTGCCTTGAATAAGAAGCGAACCCCGCATTTCGCTATAGTGAACCGTAACCACATTGGGAGTGCACCAGCTTGTTTGAAGGAACTCACACCTGTTGAATTGGCTATGATAACGCCGGTTGAAGGATACGGGTACTGTTTTACATTCTCTGGTGGTGCACAACGAAACTTGAAAGGAACAATGACATTCATGCGTGTACAACCCAGACAGGTAGCACGCGCCGCAATGCATTTGGAGGGCATGGGCTTGAAAAATCATATCGTTGTTCTATTATCTGGTCCCATGACATCATCGCAGCGTACTCGCACGAAACAAGAAATCAGAACCAACCGAATCCTTGAAGCGGTGGAATGGCTGTGTTCGAATAACAAGAAATGGAAAGAAGAATTTCGAAACGAACTGAAGGATAGTTAGATAGTGCGATGTAGCGAGAGGTTGGGATGTGCTTCCCAAACGAGACCTGAGGTCTCGTTTTCAGAATTACCTACAATTGCGCTTCTTAGATGTGACAATGAAGCATTTCGGGATTACGTGAAAAAGATGGAAGAGAACCATTATGACATCGAGTTACGTTTGAAGCTTGCAAAAGAGTTCTGCCGTGGCAGTGATGGAGACTTGCTCGTTAACGCTTGCTTGTTACAGTTTCCGTTCGGTGTTGGTGGCATGGATGAATTGCGTTATGATACAGAGGGTGAATTGGAATGCAAGGCGGAGACCGAAGGATTCCTGGATCATTTGAGTCGGCTAAGTGCTCCAGAATTCCAAACGAACATGTTCCAACTCATCATGTACAGCCTGTTTTCGAAGCTGCTCCTGTTACGGAAATCGAAGCTCTCATTAAGGGGGAAGCACACTGCCAGTACATTGGTCAACGGCCTTTCTAGTGACGACATCTCGCGTCTGGCAAGAAATCGAGCTAAGGGAAACTATCAAGACGGTACAGCTTCAAGCAAGTCCTTGGTGGACGCAGTTGATGCTTGTAGTCGCGCATTGCCACATACATCTAAGAAGCGCAATTGTAGGTAATTCTGAAAACGAGACCTCAGGTCTCGTTTGGGAAGCACATCCCAACCTCTCCTTCTGAACCAAGTCCAAGGTTCCAATTAGGCAACCGGTGCTCCAGGTTGGGAAGCGATTAATAGCCCTCTGTGCCAGGATCTATTGTTGTTGGGAATGCATTCTTCATGTTCTGACCATCCAAAACGGATGGCGATGTGACTTCTTTTTAGTAGACAATGACTTAACGGTTGGATACACCAATGGGCACAAAGGGTAACATACCACTACTGAAGTTTTTTCCCCTGCCAGTAGTAGATTGTAAAGTACGTCA